TCATCCGCTCTATTCACGTATCGACCTTGGCTGGACGCAGTTCTAGTGAAATCGAGGATGTGTTACGAACAGCAACAATAACCGGCCATCATCATCCTCATCTAGTTACAACGTAATACTGATTGGAGTACGCTGACTTAGTGCTTTGCCAAACGTATCAATTCGTGCGAGATGCGCACGCAACTTCACAGTTTCTGTCGATTATCTCATTGACGCAGGCGCATCTTAATGAAGCTGCATATGCCTCGAAACCTTCTTCGTGACATTTGTGTTTCATTTCGTAGTCTTCACCTTTCTCTGATCATTTTACTGCACCCAAGCTTGGACGTGATTTGAAGCAATGCGCCACTATCAGTGAGCCGAGAAGAGGCACCCGCTGTGTCTGGAGGAAGAGCTCCTGCAAACACTTGTACAAATCCTTCAGCCCGTATTGCACTATATCGGCTTCGTACGCCTGTCTCTGCATCTTCGAATATCTCATCGTCTTCAGCAAAAGTTTTAACTCTTGCTACTTCCGACCGTATCCGTATGGTGTGGTCATTCACTGTTTGATTCTGGCTTACGACACCTGAGCTTTACCATTCACTACTTAGCAAACGAATTGCCTGTGACATCATACGCATGCAAACACTGTTACTCTCTTATACACAGTTGTCCTTGCTCCCTGGACTGATCGAGTCCTTTATCGCCCCTGTGCTTTACACTACGCACTCACTACCAGTCCAAGATTCTTCAACCCGCTTAGCCCGCAAACGCTCCAGACACTAGCGAACGGACAAGCAAACTGATCACGCCATAGTTTGTTCAATCGGATTCCAGAACGAGTTGAAGGCCAACATGACGTCGTTTTTCTCTAGGCCAGTTGCTTCTACATGGACTTCCAGATGCCAGAATGCAGCGCCGCTCTTGCCATCACCAGCGCCAGCGACCGCGTCAAGTGTTACGCATGAGCTTTGCGACCCTCCAAATGCATTCGATCGTCCAGAAATCCAACGGCTCATATCATGGGAGATCGTCCCCTGTCTACATCGCCTACCGCCCTCCCCTGTTCCCAGCCGTTCACCGAGCCCTGATCCATCTCTGCCAGAACATCAGTCCTCAAAGCTCAATATCCACGCAGAGACTTCAGAGGCGAGGCCAGAGCTCTCTTCATCTGACTCCTGTCCCCAAATGAGCACTTCCTGGATGTCCTTCGAAGAGATATCACACACTGACGCCACATTGCCACCTGAGCACAGAGAACCTATTGAGTTTGATACTGAAGCTTTCCCCCGACATGCCCATCTCTTCCCCTCCTCGCCTAACGGCACATGGCGTAATGAGTCTATTCACGCATTGACGCATCCTACGGCTGTAGATTACGCAGCGCTATATGCGAAACTGTGTACACTGGCTGAGGAAGCAACGGATGAGTTTTCTGCAAGAGTAAACCGAGCATTCGAAGGTAGGGACGTACCGGCAATGCACGATAAGGTTATGCAGATCTTTCCTTCGGTCTCAATGCCGGATATGAGAGATATCGAGAAGGCTATAGATACTGGATGTGACTGGGGAGAGGAGCTGTTTGAGCAGAGAGGACGGAGGAGAACTAGAAGGTGGCGGTAAGTGAAGCGTAGGCAGAAGCTCGATGGAGAAAGGAAAAAGTGGTTCATAGCCACATTGTTCAAAAGATCAGATCTTGGTACCCTGAAAGGTAGTGAAGCTAAATATTGTATTACATCAAATTATCTCAAATGCCTGAATGGCCTTTTGGAAGAAACGAACATTAGTCTAACGAATCAGCGTCGCCGCCGCCCTGAAACCCCTCGCTAAATCAACAGTTTTGTCTATACCGTAGCCGTACCAAGAATTCTTTACTCTTCCCTATGAAGACTTCCTGCCCGTTGACGCATGGCAGAATGTGGGTGCGCAGCCTCCTCCTCGTCTCGCGGACCACCAGCACCACCCTCCATAGGACCGCCAGCCTTCATGCCACTCGGAGTTCCACCAAAGCTGACCAATACAGACGGATTGTCTGCCGTTAGAGCATCCAACACGTCCAACTCGTGTGCTGTGAACCATTTCGGCATCAAGAATGTGCGCAGCGGGATAAGGGCGATGATGAGGACCGGGAAGCCGATAGCGGCGATGGTTTGCGAAATGGCGACTGTGCATGCGACACCAAGAATCTGAAGACCGATGAAAAGCCGAATCTTGTTGCGTGAGACGCGGTTGAGCGGGTTATCGCGCTGGATAAAGCGTTTCTCCGACATGAGGTAGAGTGCCTTGCTGACAATGCCGTTCGATTCAATGGAGCCCCACTTTGAAGAGATTAGCACATCGTATCGAACTTGAAGATGGGATGACACGTACACCGACAACAAAGAACACTCCAGCAAAGACTGCCGCGGGCATGGTGTGAAGTACGATAAGTAAGGGACCGGTCATGGTACCCCAGATAGCCATACCCATCAAGAAATGACTGATGCGCTGCTCAACAACAGCAGTAGCCTTGACAAAGGGCTTGCGGATCTCGCCACCGTCTTCCGTTTTGGTGATCTCCAGCCTGGTCTCGTAGACGGTCAAAGAGTCGGTATGTACGGGTGCTTGCGGCACCAGGCCGTTGGGAAGCGGAAGGCCGATAACGCCACCAACGAAGCATGTGCAACCGAGAAGGAAGAAGTCCCAGTGGAAACCAGCGGGCTTTTTGAGGGGGTATTGGCGGGCCTGTGCTGTGAGAGATGACACATTCTATTACCAAGGGTTAGCTTTCGTCAGTGCTGGAAGACGTGCATGACTTACGTGATCGTAGTAGAACAACAGCATCATCAAAAAGCCAAATGGCAAAGCCACAAATACCCATTTGACGTCAAGATTCCAGAAGTCAATTACCCAGTTCCTGTCCTGCGTTGGTGCAAAGGCTTTGCCGATAGGCACTCGGTAAAGCCCAGTCTCTTCCAGTCGTCCAGGAATATGAGAGAAGCCGACCCAGAACAAGGTAGGGAAGACAAAGGAGTAATCGGCTATGATGCTGCGAATGCCTGGAGTAAACACGGTACTGTTACCAAGCTTCTCGAGACCGTAGACAGATCCGAAGTAGCATATCGCAATGACGATGGAGAGGTAGCCACCGTCAAAACCGGATTCCTGAAAGAGATATACTAGCTCTTCAACACCTTTGACTATATGCAGGTCAGTACTGTATCTGAGTAGGCCAGTGAGGAGGGACATACCACAGTAGATAATTCCAACATACATGCCGAATGTTTCACTCGAGAAGTCAGTGACATAGGCCATGTAGTCACTGAAGTTTCCGAAAGCTACGATCCAATGGAAGATAGCAGCCCAGATTCCGACCCATGCGGTGAATGCTGGATAGATAGAGGGGTCGTATTGAGTGACGATGTCGTAGATGGTGTAGTTGAATAGGGCGATCAGACCAGTGACTCCTACGATGGTGAGGGGTTGGCACGCGAGTAAACTAAACACCATGGCTGCTAATGCGGACGAAAAGAGGGCTTCGTTGATGCCAAAGAACCCGCCCGTTCGACGGTACATGTCGAGTGTGAACGCGATGGCAGGTAATACGCTACGTTTGTAAGTATTGAATTAAAGTATTGTTAAGACAGACTTACTTGACGAAGTACATGCGAACTGTACTGGCGAAAGCGCGATAGGTGAGAGCATCGGTTATGTCGCTCCAGTAGTAAGGTAACCTCCGCTTGACATCGTGATACATGCCGCGCCCAGGCTGTAGAATGCGCCATCTCCGCCAGCCTCTCGCGCCTTGGAAGGTGTAAGATTCGTGTGTTGCGGTTCTCTCTAGTATCTCTTTCTCCCTCGAGTTTGTCGCGTCTGGCGAGTCCATGATGACGGTTGTCCAACTTGGATGAATTACAACACGCAATGGATGCGAAACCGCAGAAACTAAGGTTGAAGGAAGTCGATCGACGCGATAGATGTGTACATAGCTTGATCCGGACCCTGAGCGTCCAGTCTATATACGCGGAATCAAGTCCAATTACAGAAGCCGGCGCACTACGGCCCCAATGTCATAGCTAAGCTTGGCATCTGTGGAGATCGAGTTTTTGCCATTGATGGGCGAACTGCTTGCGCGCCAAGGGGGTTGGTGATGATATCTAGTATGAAAACAGTAGACAAAATGCGAGCTTCGTCTTGAATGACAGCCTCTGCGCTTCCTGAAACGATTCTGTGGTGGTTGCTCGCGATAAGCATGTTCATTGTTGAGGCCATGTTTGGTTGTTTGGTGACGTCTGCCGGAGTAGAGGCCTCGCGCACGTGGTTAGCGCGGCCGTTAGTTCCCGTGCCATGATGAGGGAGGGCCAACCTAGGACCAGACCGCGCACTCTATTCTTTCGCCATCAGCCCTGTCGCCTGCGGCTTTTTTTTGTCTGCCCAGGCATCATCGAGCAGCAACTTCGATGGTCTGGGTCAACGTGCACGTTACAACCCAAACTCCGCAACCACGACCATTGTCTGCATGGCACCGTGCAGCTGTGACATTACTTCCAATTGGTCCAGACGTCTGTACCACACCAAAATGACGTATACGGCTCGCCGAGCGTATGACTGACGCCAAGCGCCATACCGCACGCGGTCAAGAGCGTTTCCATTCCACCCCGGTATCTTTCACAGCTGCTTGAGCAGAATTTCCATCAGCATCGTCACGTTTCCGCGCGCTCCTATTGCAGCATATAGAAAGAGGTGAACAGTGTCGCGACATTGCGACATTCGATCCGGGTAGACTTCGGACAGTTTGTTCAGCCCATGAACAGTCCACCCATCTTCCATTACCTCACGTCTGTAGCGAGTTTTGTTTCGCATCCTGAGGTATTTCTATGGTACGGAGATACCTCCACTGTAAAACTTCTAGTGGGCATCGTGGTAGGTTTTAAATATATCACCCACCTACCCGCGCAATGCTCAAGCTTCTTAGCGTCCGGTGTCAACTCCACAGGCTTAATTAATCCACCGGAGTTTTGTCGATATACTTCCTTAAGATGAACGCCCTCCAGGACGTCGACGGGCTTTCAGAATGCATCGGCAAGGCTATCCAAGAACATCTCGCTAGGTTCAACATCAACATTGCATGGCCGCAGCTCGATAACCTGGATCATCCCATCCTCCGTGTCGAAGCCTTTCTTGAGGAAGCCGATGCCACCCATGCAGCCAGAGCGCAGTCCGAAAGGATCGCATCGGTAAGTTGATGTTCCCACCACATTCAATGCCAATGTGCAGTAGCGTGTTCTTACACGTCCGCAGAGAACCGTCGATCTGGCGGGCATGAGGACGCCAGCCCCCACGGCAAGCCCAGCCGCGATGGATCTCCAGAACTATGATGAGACCTCGTCTATGGATGAGTCTTATTCGCGGGACGAGTCATCGTCGTCGGTACAACAACCCCGCGAGGCCCGCAGGAAAGGCACTGGCGGTCTGAGGGTGTCGCACACTCAGTCATCGTTTCAAGAAGATCTGAGCGAACACCAACGGCAAATGCAGGTCGATAGCCGCAGCTTCCCAAAGCGGAAGAAGGTATGTGAACTCTCCTAGGCGACGTCGCTCTCTCAGGCACGCCAACCTAGGGAAAAACTGAACAGCCTGGAGCCTACGTTGACGTCGGGTTACCTACTTTGCAAGTTTTCGTCTCAATGTAGGCTCCAGGGTGTTCGGTCTTTTCCTAGGTCGGCGTGCAGGTACTCGCTGGACCCTCAGTGGGGGAACGAGTGGGCTGCTTTTTCGTGCACAAAAATACGTGATGCGCATATGCTCGCCCATCTTTCTTGAACTAGCTGACCATTCCCAGGTAGCATCGGAGAAGTTTGTCTTCCAACCGTCCACTCTGGACAAGCTTATCATCGGCATCTGGGAGCAAGTACACAGCACGCTCAACCTCGACCCGAAAGCGATCTTTGAACAGTTCCAAGTAACGCCCAATGGATCCTCCATGAGCATGGGCATGGTCGGCCATGCGCATACCGACGAAACACCCTCCACCATGGCAGTACTCAACAACGCTCCGAATCCGATATCCGAATCCTTCAGTCAGATGAATGTCTTTTGTCGCAAGGTTACACAAGCGAGTCGCGTGTGCCGGTCCATCGAAATGATCGTACAAGCCCGCTGGGTCGAACTGTTTGAGGAGCAGGTACTATACCGGAGCCAATTGAGACCAGAGCTGTCAACAACAAAGCATAGGAAAGCTGTGTTCATGGAAGCGTGTCAGGACTTCGATTGGTCGGAGTAAGTACAGACACCTGGGATTGCGCAAGCATCTTAGATCGCATTCGCTGACTGCCGTGCCACCCCAGAAAGGAACTGCGCAACAAAATGGCCATTTGGCGTGGCTACAAAGAAGTGAAGGATTCAGCAGGTTGGGCTGCACTTGTCTTCGCTGGCATGGGTATATACCGGTTCTGCAAGTACCGAGTTGGTTTCGATAAAGATGCCATGCGCCGGCTACGGAATCTGCGAAAACGTCTCGAAGTCGCGGCCGATACCTTGCATCCCCATTGGCGCCAGCTTCTCTCCATAGTAGGCGAATCGCAAACGCTGCAATACCCTGGCCATCCGCACGACTGGGTAGTCTTCGAAGACGGATCAGATCCTATACCACTGCGCCAAACGTATCTACTTCAAGACCCTTACTTTGCTTTCGAACACATCGACGAGTCGATCATCGATGAATCAGTTTGGGGATGCGAAGACCCACGCTGGACACCCCAGTCGAGTGCAGTGGCGAGACCAGGCGGAGCCTACATCTGCGCTTTGTGTAACGAGCCGCAGTCGGACAAACCGCAAGATAACTCCTGTTTCTGCTTCCCAACCCTATTCGGTTGTGTAAAGCGCAAGCCACCGCCTGTTCAGATCCTGCGGACTTCCGATGGCAGAAACAACGGTCTGGCCGCATTGACCTCCTTCGACCGTGGTACAGCAATTGGAGAGCTGGTAGGTCTGATCACAAACGGTGTGAGACATCTCGATGTGTTGGATAGCTCAACACCCCTGGCCAGCTATCAGATTTGGCAAGGAAGAGCTGGAAATTTCACACGCTTCATCAACCATAGCTGCAAGCCGAATGCACAATGCTCTACATTTACTTGGTTAGATACCCAGAGGGTGGTTCTGGTCAGCAAGGGGATAGACGCGGGAAAAGAGATTACATTGGACTATGGAGATAAGTATTGGGCTGGGCTAGACAAAAGCTGTCTGTGTGGAGAGAGTTGTTGCAGGTATCGGAGAGATGGAAGGATTAGATAACACTATTAGAAGCGACTGCAGTATTTTACGCACACTTGATAGAACACAACGACGTTTTTGAACACGAGATATGTTCGATCTGGGGCAAACGTCATCTTGGTGCGAAAGTTGCAAATATTGGGTCCAGCCGTGAAAGGCGCGTGTTGCAGTATCGATAAGACTAGCGCGATAGACCCCTGCACAAAATTTCGGAGACACTTGAACCTGAACTATCAGCGTACATACCAAACATCAACAACAACCATGGCGACTTCCGATTACAGCGAATCCGGGGCGTCAGACCAGGAGATACTTGAGGCGCAATCTGGGGCCAGAAAGAGAAGGAGACTGTCACCTACCGAGCCCGAGAGTTCGGCTTCCGAGGCTGAAGCTGAGAAGCCGCTGCCAGTAGCAACACCAGCACCAACAATTTCGCGCATCAAAGCCAAACAGCAAGACAAGTCGACGATTACCGCCAGTTCTGCACCCAAAGTCAACCCAAAGCTGGATTTTGCGACGCTCAACGTAGCACCATGGCTTTGCACGTCTTTGGCCAGCATGGGTATCAAGCGTCCAACGGGCATTCAGGCATCTTGTATCCCTGAGATCCTCAAGGGGAAGGACTGCATTGGTGGATCCAGAACCGGTACGGGTAAAACTGTAGCGTTTTCTGTGCCGATAATGCAGAAATGGGCGGAGGATCCAAGCGGTATCTTTGCCGTTATTGTCACGTGAGTACAAACCATCGCTGCTATGTGCGCAGTAGCTAATCGCCATGTAGGCCCACCCGCGAGCTCGCGATCCAGATTTACGAACAAGTGAAGGCAATTTCAGCGCCACAATCCATGAAACCCATTCTTATCACAGGAGGATCAGACCAGCGTTCCCAAGCCATCGCTCTCGCCTCGCGCCCGCACGTCGTAATCGCGACACCAGGCCGTCTAGCAGAGCACATCCGCACCTCAGGCGAAGACACCATCTGCGGCCTCCGCCGCGTTCGCTTCGTCGTCTTCGACGAAGCCGATCGTCTTCTCGCCCCAGGAAAAGGCTCCATGCTCCCTGATCTTGAGACGTGCCTCTCCGCGCTACCCCCGAAAGAAACGAGACAAACCCTCCTATTTACCGCGACTGTAACGCCCGAGGTTCTAGCGCTGAAATCGCAACCGCGCGCACCGGGCCGTCTACCCATCTTCGTGTCTGAAGTCGATACAGAGGATCTGGCGATTCCGCCCAAGCTGCAGCAGAGGTACCTTCAAACGCCTGTCACGCATAAAGAATGCTACCTGCACGTCTTGTTGAATACACCTGAGAACAGCAAGAAAAGTGTCATAATTTTCTGCAACAGAACCAAAACAGCTACGCTACTAGAATACATGCTCCGTCTCCTCGACCACCGCGTCACAGCCCTCCACTCCGGCCTCAAGCAAAACGACCGCGTGGGCAACCTCGCTCGATTCCGCGCACAAGCCGCTAGGATCCTAGTCGCCACCGACGTCGCTGCCCGCGGTCTAGATATCCCAGAGGTAGCTCTCGTTATCAATTTCGACGTTCCCCGTGACCCGGACGATTACATCCATCGTGTTGGTCGTACGGCGCGTGCGGGCCGTGTGGGAACGAGTATCACGTTGATTGGACAGAGGGATGTGGAGTTGATTCTGGCGATTGAAGCAAGGGTGGGCAAAAAGATGGAGGAGTTTGAGGAGGAGGGTGTTAGTGTTGAAGGAAGGGTTGTGAGGGATGCGCTTAAGCCTGTGACGGAGAAGAAGAGGGAGGCGCTGTTGAGTATTGAGGAAGGGAGGGATGTGCTGGGGAAGCGCAAGGTAGGTATGCAGAGGAAGCGGGCGGAATGAGTGCAGCTGTCTGATTGTGTTCGTTGTAGCTGGTATTCATGGGTCAAGCGGTACCCTCCAGTCTGCCTTTCATACTCATGGATGCCATCCTTGAGAGACGGTATGTCGTCAATATTGGATAGTGTGAGGGGGGTTGTAGGTACGGTATAATTGAGAAGTGAAGCAGCTACTTGGCAGCGTCAGTCGTATCGACACTAATAAGCAAAAGTGGGGAGGGCACTCACCTTCACTTGCTCTTTCACATTCTTCTGGTTGTCCCGAAGTGGTAAGTAGTGATATGTCCGTGGGTCAACGAAGATGAAAAAGCCTAGAGGTTAAGACAATGTTGGTATAGATTTCGTGTGGCGTCGTTATGATACCAATATAATGCTAAATCGCCTGTCGCAAGCATCCACCACCCCAAGCCAGCCCACTGCTCCCTCCGATGCCTGCCCAGGCGTGTACAGTTGGAAAAATACAATACCCAATGCTGATGATATACACAATAGAGCCACCACATTACCCACCAATGATACAGTAAAGATACATGCAATACCTGATAAACACCTTCCTGTCCCGCACGCCAGCGCCTAACCGCGGCGCGATTTGACATCTACAGTCCTCGTCACCTGCCTTCCTTGATCTTTACACAATCAGCAAATGCGGGAAAGTTGCCTCTGAAGCTGGGTCCCAGTGTCCAATTGTTCAGGTCGCGGAGATGCGTCTCAAAGGCGGGGTTGATGAGCCACTGATCGTCTTCCTTGGGTAGCGGACCCATAGATGTGATACCGGCGGAGGTGTGTGCCGCAGGAGGCTGTGGGGTGGAAGGATCTTGCGGCGAGCCAGCGTTGACATGTGTGGAGAAAGGCGAGGAGACCGAGACGGATGAGGTCGTCGAGAGTGCCGAGGTATGGACTTTCGAAGCAGGGAGGAGACAGTCGCGGGGCTCATAGGGCCAGTTCAGGGAAATCGTTGTCGTAAAAGGTATGAAGAAGTTCTCGAAGGATACTGGCGGGTGGCCAGCGACGAGTTTATCGCGAAGGCGAGGCCTAGAATAATTCAGTCATGATGTCTTCTCAAATGGGTTGCGCAGCGGATCTTAGTACATACCATGGGAGATGATCGATCCATAACGCGTGAGCAGTGAACAGCTGAGAAGGTCGTGGTGTAGCCCAGTGTGGCAGCCGATCGTAGTTCTCCTGCGTAGGTTCGATCTGCCAACGCATGATCAAGAACATGATGAATACTATCGCAACTTGTTCCGGTCTGCCGCAGATGTCGGGGAACGTGCGCAAGATATCTGTAAAGAGCTTTGACAGGGGGTGTGCATCTACTGCGCGCTCAGGGTACGCTAGAGACGTGAAGTTGGGGTAGTGTGGTCCAACCAGGGTCTTCATAGGTACGCCCTCGGCAGCGCGATTCTGGCGATCTTGTAGAAAGTCAAGCAAGATGACGTCCAGAGGGCATGTCGCCGGGAGATTGCGAGGTAGCGTGAGGTGGGCGACCATGCTCGGTGCGTACATGGCATGCTGGCTACTACTGACGTTGCTGGGTCGCGGCTGCTGTGGAGGGGGCAGATTTGGATCAACAGCCCTCCTCTGCCCATTGTCGAGTATGAAGTCTACGCCTAGACGCTCATCGAAGGGCATCTCTGACTGTAGATGTGGTGTCCGCGACTGGTCGAAATGCGGTCCGGGACTGCCATTGGAGTAGCGGCGCAAGTGGCTGTTTGGCGCGTCGTTGGGGTATAGCCATGCTCGTCCCCCCTCGGTCACGCTTGGAGAATGTACGCCGTTCTGAGGTGAGGCCGTGGATAGCTCGTGGGACGCGATGTGGTACTGTCGTGGTTCGGTAGGTTGCACAGGCGCGTCGCGCTGTTGGTGAGGATGGATTGGAAGGGGCGATCGCTCGGCAGCAGCTGCCAGTTCTACCTGCTGTCAACATTCGTTCCTGGTTTGGGAGTAGTCATCGTACCATTGAGGCCTCCCGTCGCACGCACAATAGGCTGGATGATGCTCAGGACGCTCTCGAGCCTCTTCCTGATATCTCCGTTCTCCGCCTGGACCGCCTCCTTCTCGCGGAGGACGACTTGCAGGTCATGGTACGGCTGCTGGCTCTCCAAATCCCGGATGCGCTGATTGAGGCGATCGATCTGGTTCTTCGTCCGCTCGCGGATGGC